TAGAGATTTCGTGACAAAACAGTAATAATTTTCTTTTCTTATGCTTATCAGTCTGTTTTGCATTTTCAATGCAATGAATACTTCAGCACGACACTGGGATGAAAGTCTCCAAACGCCTTTTTCCGCGGTGTCTGTACACCTGTACTCCTTTGTATGCTGTTAAATGTTGTGGTATGGGCAACACAAGTAAACCTAGAAGTACATTATTTAACACACACCCATACGCACACACGCACGCACGCACGCATTGATAGAAACTGATATTACGTGGACCCCAAAGTCTGTATAACTGTATATTTGTTACTCTCAGACATCGTGTTTTAGTTTGGTACAGGCTATACATATTTAGGGTGAAGGGGTCACTATAAGCGTTTCCATTGTTCAGGTAAAAATGTGTTTTGTAAGAGCCGACGGAGAGCGCAGCTTTGGACTGTTATATGAAGAGTGATATGGTAGTCCTGCGGGGAGGTATGGAGTTTTATCTGGCTGCATTATCATTCTGCAGTAGATCTTTACTCATGCAGCAGACCATTCGATCTACAGGTCAACATAGATATGTTTGTTGGTTGTTTTATGCCGCACTCAGCAATAGTCCAGCTGTATGGCGGCGGTCTGTAAATAATCGAGTTTGGGACACACAATCCAGTGGCATCGATCTACCCAATGGGTTAGGTGAGGTGAAATTGGGTTTAACGTCGTGCTTAAGAATATTTCGCTCATATGACGACGTGCATGCGTGTGTATGTGTATGTGCGGCTGCTTGTACTAGCCCAGACTGAAGCTGGTTTTATTGTGCTAGCCCACTGAGATACCATGCCGCAGTGAAGCAGGAATACCCCTCTCAGACACATTATACTGACTCCGAGCCGACCAGTCCTTGTTGTATCCATTAATGCCGTACGCCAGGCAGGGACCAACAAGTACCATATTTTAACTTTTTTTGGTATGACGGGGCCGGGGATCCAACCCGCGACCTTCCGGTCTCCGGGCGGACGCTCTAACCACTACACCACGGAGGCGGTCCTACCCAATGGGAATACGATGATGTGTGTCAACAAAGTCAGCGAGCCTGATCCCCCGATCCGGTTTGTCGCCTCTTACGACAAGCATGGTTTACTGAAGATTAATTCTAACCGGGATCGTCACGGGTCAGCTATGGTACAGACTCACTATTGGTGACTGCAGTGAAATACACACAATCACCCTCCCAATTGTCAAATTTATATGTCGAGGACAGGTCTTTTGAGTTTAAGAAGTTACAATCGGTGGAAATGAGAAAACGTTAGCCCTCTCAAAAATAGGTTGTCCTCATTGAAAACGTCACATGAAAAATGAGAGAGGTGAAACTGTTGACCTAGAACTACTTTGTCAAAACGAAAAACATTGTTCTATGTTTGCACTCAAGTGTGTCACCTTGATCACATTAACAAATACTTTCAGTGTTTGTATATCTGGTAATAAATGAAATTCGAAGAATCAAATTTAGAAATGTATGTCGTAATGATTCAGAAACAGTAACCAGATTGTACGATATTGTTTTCCTAGTCAGTGGAGTACGGTGCATAGTATACCTATTAATCTCATCTGTGTAAAATTGGAAACACAACTGCAGAATTGTGTCAGTATTTACCCATATTTTGACAGCGTTCACGCAACATGTGTGGGGCATAGCGTTGTGGTAGAGGGTTAATCACATGGCTGTGTGCAATGAACACGTGTTGGTCTTTAGCCGGCATAGGAATGACCTAAAGCCGTCTCTATAAAATGACGACTTTGCTGGAAAGTTTAGTTAGTCATCACATTTGGCTTGAGGACAATGTTCTGAACTAAACAGACCCGCAGAAAACCTCCAGAAACCATTGTAAAGCATGGACCTTTTTCTCATTGTATTTTTGTCATGAATCATGTGATTTTTCTGTACTACTTCACAATCATGATGCTAACGCCCAAGGTAAAAATATTGCATTGAAGCAAGTGCACTGAGTCAGTCTGTCGGTTCTGAGCATTTCCTGAAAGTTTGACCTTGGAAATAGGAACAACGAAATAATTATTTGTTTCAGTTTATTTCAGGAAACCAGGTTGTATCTGAAACCAGTGATTATAAGTCACCTTCTAAATATGCATTTATTCGGGGATATTTTAATGCCTCACTATGACGACGGTCTATAAATAGTCGTGTCTGGTCAAGACAGTCCAGTGATTGACATCATGAACATCGATCTTCGTAATTGGGATACCAGGACATGGAACGAAGAACAGTGTTTAAGCAATGTAAGTAATACTTGTGCTGTGTTTGTTCACACAACAGGAAAGCTACGTTTACATTTTCTATACCGTTTACCAGTGAACGCGTTTAATTTAATTTGTCGAATACAAGACCACTTGTAAATGCGAACACGAGAAACTCATTACATACTAAAATACGTCAAACAACGTATTCGAAAAACATATTCATGCAAATGCTGTTCATTATATTGGTACAGTTGTGGATATATGGCGCTCAACAATCAAACAATTCAGATTAGTTATGGTATTTCCAGAACAAGGAAACGATTATGAAATGCCCATAAGGCATGAAAACTATATGTTCAGTATTACATTTTCGATATAATCTTTAAACATACTCGGATAGTAATATTTTAGGCATTGGAACTTACTAAATATGTGAAGATAAACTTAAGAAAAGTTAGTAGGTTCTTCTCGTTTCTGGGAGATGCCGTTGTCTTAAAGGTTTTATGATGGGCGTTTCTCACTTCCTAGGGTTTACACTGAGACATAAAACCACGTGTAGACATACAGCTTCCAAATAACTGAAATAACACCTGTTCTACCAGCAACCAGCCCGCTTGATTATGTCATTTAGTTCAGAGCGTCATGTGTAGCATACCTCTCGTCCAAATCAGAACAAGAGCTTCTGTGTAATGGTGTGAGTAGATTCATTTTTCTTGTATCTCACCTACGGTGTACCAGCGGGGACCCCGTCCTACAACGATGTTGGCTATTATATATTACTGTAGCCGTTGTAACCCACATCTCCACATTCCAACCCCACCACCATCATAAAGCCGCATATTCCAACACGACACCGTTTCGCCACGCAACTTTAGCAAGACTATATCTAATGTAGCATCTTTTTTTTTGCCCTGACAATAGTCAATGCTAATCAGGACACGGGTAGCGTTAATGGTTCTAGTTAGACCGACCCCTGACGATGTAACAGAAGACGATCCAGCTAAATGGGTGTCGCCTACAACTTCTAGTCTCCCACCCCGTCTCAAATCCTCTTTGAGACTTGAGATCATTATTTCTGGGATAATCTCAGATGAATGGTTGTCTATAAACATTATTTTCTCTATCACATCGTTACCTGCCAGTCCGTAGTTAGTGTGGGTTTAGTGGTATGGTATTTGATATAAAATGCCGGCAAAGCAAGTGTACACCCATGTTTTTGGTGGCTAAAAATGACACCATGTTTATTCGATTCTCATATATTTATTACGGGTATCACAATTGTAAAGTTGAGTCTTTATTATAATGGTGTATATACAGCAGGTAAATCAGTACAACTCCTATCAGAGTGAGTGACATCAATTTCGCTGTGGACATTGTTTCAGTTATGCAACTGAAAGAGGTTTTTTGGCTCCATGTCGAAGGAAAACTCAAAGTGATGCAGGTCCACCAGCACAGGTAACATAGTTAAAGTCAATCCGGAAACCCTACTGACGATCCTAGGCTTCTGGCACGCATAACTCTGCAGAAGGAATTCGTACCATTTCCATGCATAGACTACCTGTCTACCTGTGTTCCATAACATCAAAAGAGTGATAAATGTCACCCTGTCAACATTGTCCTTGATTTCATCTTATAATTGTGGCAAGTTCAGGCCATACTGATTGTCCCACCTTCACGATATATTCTTTCATAAATCTTTAATGTTTTGGACAAACCAAATTTATATACCAGAAACGTATACAGTTTAGGGTTATTTGTTTTCACGCAGAGAGGGTCTCCTGAATAAGGACTGTTACATGTTCTTGGCTTCTCTTTGCGGACGTCTCGATTCTCTTTAAAATTAGCAGTATGGAGGTCGGAATTAACTATCAACGCGCTGTACATATTGATATGTATGAAAGAATGAATAATGCAGAAGCAGGCTGTTTCTACATGGTGGAAGCTTTCATTTTCATTTTCGAGCCGACAAAAGCACTGATGCATAGGTGTATGTTAATATGTTAAGCTTCCTACTTAATTAGTGCTCAGCCAAACGATGAATATATTAGATCTATAGTAACTGGTACAAAGAATTACCATGCAATGAATAGTGAAACATTTCGTCTTGGGCATCATGGGCAAAGTTCACGGCGCCTCATGCATGTCGGAGGAGGCGTTTCGGACGGGAATCAATTTGTGACAATGTTTGACCTGGTCTATTGTGTGGCATCCTTCCAGTACAACGGGCTACATGGATAGTTGCTTCTACAATCTATGCTCAGTAATGTTCTGGACACTGTGTAACACTGCTGTCTGCGGCATAAAACGACATTCAGTCGCACCTATTAATCGGATTTCAAGGTAAGATATATGGAACATGAGACATCACACATTGTATTACGAAAAAATAACAACGCAGTGATTAGATTCATCTAGCAGAGAAACTGTATTATCTTTATACTTTAGTTAGTGCATATATAAATAAACCAACACGAGACAGGAAAAATGGGGGGAGCACAAAACATCAAGCCAAGTTCACGAACAAGTGTATATGTATCGTGGGCTACACGTTGATTTATAGGATCGTAAAATTGGTCCAGTGTAGAACTATACAAACTGACATTTGTCACAGACCGCCGGGGAGAAGTAATACGACAATGTCCGATAATGACTGTTGAATCGTCTGAATGATAAAATAGCCGGATGATACATTCTATGCATAAAAGCGGCAACAGTAAACCCTGTCGGCGTCACATATCGCCCAGTGTGTATGTGTGTGAGTGATGGTGGGTGGGACGGACTGGCGTGTCCGTCACTAATTCCCCGACCTGTGAAGCGGAACCTCCCCCCACGTGGTGCATCAGTCATCCAGATTATAGGGGTCTGCAACCACCTAGGCGTTACGCCCGCGTGAGCAGTGTCACCATTGGATATGTGAGACGGCATATTAACCATATGAGATAGAGTTTCCAAACGAGTATAGTCTCTAGTTTCAAGCCGTGCCACGCGTACAGGCCTCATTCTCCAGGAACGAAGGGGTGTACTAAGGGGACCCTCGCGCCAAACACTCCCAGCGTTCGACCGCCGAGCACACCTCGAGGGTGGATAGACAAACAGGGCTAGCAGACAGACAGACAAGTGCAAAGGAAGAGTTGAGAGACTGACTGATGAAAGCAACCCTAGCGATGAATACTTTCATATCAGTTCGGTGCTTCTTCTGTTTCCTATGCGTTCTTGTGGTTGCGGTGAGTAGTTTATACATTGTTTGAGTGAAAGCAGTGAAAAACACTGCTTATTCAGCTTTTTGAGGAAGCTGCTGAAAACAGGAACAAGCACATATTGCAAGTCAGGAGAATATTTACAACAGCTTTCTTCGTTGGCGTTAAGTATTTTCATGTCTGCTCTATATTTAACTTTTGATACAGGTTCAGTTAAATGTATCTACGATTGAATTGGTAAACACTGTCATTTACACATATGTAAACTTCACATACTTATCGTAAATCATAAAATTGTCGCTTCTCCTACCATCGACTAATGATTACTTCGAAGTTTAGAATATGATCAGACATACCAAGACCATATTTGCCATAGGTTACCAAGTGTGGGAGTAGAGTAGGTTTATTATATTAAACTACGTTATCGCAATATCAGGGACATGTTTAGGTAAATGTTTAGCATGATTTCCTAGAGATATGTATTTTTGTGTTGGCTAATTTAAATTTTGACAGCATGTCATCTCTCATGTTTACTTAATGCTGTCAGGAATTGAGACATGCCCTGAATAGGTTATTTGATTAAAATATGCTTAGCATACAATCACCCACTGTTACCTCATGGTGCATCTGAAACATGGCAGTCATTGCAGACAACAGCATCCAACCAGGTAATAACAGTGTTCAGACGGACTCGTGTTCACTGTGAGATGCTCTGTGCTGTGTATGCATAGGTTGTCTACAACTACCATGAAATAGAGAACAGTTTCATCGTTTGTAATTAATGTTTAGCCCTAGCGTGCACAATGTATGTTTCATTGAGTCGAGATGAACCGCGCCTGTGTAATGGTCAGATAAAACCGTCGGTGTTTCGAGAGCCAGACGCAGAGACGAAACATATATACGAAAAAAAGTATAAGATTAGAAAGAAAAACATGTATGGGAACATTTGGAGCAGTTGATATGCAACGGATATGTTTGTTTTGCATGCTTCTCGCAGACACGAGAAGGGTCAACCTCTTTGCATGTAGGCGTAAATGTGCTTAACAGGGGGAACAATCAGTTCTGTATGCGCCAGGTCAATATCCCAGGATAGGGCAGAAGATCTTATGATATGCTAAGGGTCAGAGGAGAGACGTTTGTTTACACAGATGATGCAGATGTTTACAAGTATTTGCGAAGTGGTTTGACTGACCAGGTACAACGGTCTCTTTGATTCTGGACAGGTTACACTAAATACTCGACTGTCGGGTCCAGCTGAAACTGTAAACACCATTATGTCCGTTAACATTGGCCATTAAACGTTCTGGTCAGTTACCATGTCTGGGAATATCAAAGGCCCATTACCATTCTGCAGAATATGAGCCATAACAGTTAGTATGGCCTGACACTGTATGTATTGAACAGGGTCTGAACAGGGTCAAGTAGAGCGTGCACTTCGGTTTATCCTCTGACTTAAGTGAGTGAGTTTAGTTTTACGCCGCACTCAGCAATATTCCAGCTATATGGCGGCGGTCTGTAAATAATCGAGTCTTGACCAGGCACTCCAGCGTGAGCATCGATCTGCGCAATTAGGAACCGATGACATGTGTCAACCAAGTCAGCGAGCCTGACCACCCGATCCCGTTAGTCGCCTCTTACTCTGACTTAAGTGGTCATTTTCTCATTTCAAATGTGTGCAGTTGAAGTATGTTGCGTCTATGAAAAACCCAGTTGACATTTGTATGATCTTTAGTTTGTCAGCACCCTTGCCGCTCTTGTCGGTTTTACCAAAGTGATCATACTTCGTTCTGACCGTACTCACCACGCAATGACGCCAAGATGAAATGAGGTTTATTGGTGGTTTAATAGTGCTAGCCCACTAAATACCACACTTCAATTTAACCTGAATACAACTCACAGACAGAGTTTACTGACTTCAGGCCTACCAGCCCTTGCTTATCCCATGTATATCGAGACCAGGCATGGTGACAAAAAGTACCATATTTTAATGTCTTTTGGTATAACGCGGCCGGGGATCCAACCACCGACCTAATGCATATTATTTTTACATATTTACAGTTTGTAATGGGTATATCACTGCTAGTGAGTATTGAATAGCTAGGATGTGCTGACCAACTGGTGAAAGCGGAATGGATACGCGAACACAGGTTATCACCACAAATGGATATTGATTCACACGTGCTTAACATATTGGCATAATCTTGCATATGAGTCATCTTTAGGCGCTTATTTATACATTGATCAGAAATAGGATAGTCTCTGGTGTATGCCCTTACCTGTATGTAATGTCTGCAACATTTGATTAAAGAACATTTCGTAGTCATGTATGTGTAAGACACTGCGGTGGACAAAGTAATGATGTCTTCAGTGCCAGACACTAACAGTCTGGAAGCTGATCGTACTTCAACGAACAGAGTAATGTGATGCATATGTTAAGTCTGTTATCGCGAATCTTGACTCAGTGGTCATTACACAAGTATAAGTTGGGCGTATTTTACATGTGTTTTTTACCTTTGAAAATTAAATCACGTCTCAAAACGCAGACTTTGTTGACCCAGTAAACTAACCCCAACTGTTTTATTCTACGACAAGCTACAGTTTGGTTTGAAGATAAAAAAATTCCAGACAGATTGCCAGCTGTAAGTCTTTAGGCCTGTAGTGAAAATAGTATTGTTTTCACGTGTACACACAAGAACCCTTCCTGTCTCCTGAGGGTATGTATATAGGTGTGGTATACAGAATACGAAACGAGTGGATGAAAGAATGAATGCCCTATTACGTTGCAGACAGACACATACATTACCGTTCTGTCACGACAACCCGCACACTCTCGAGTCAGGGAGAACATTTAATTAATAGAATGAGTGTGTGAGTTTAGTTTTACGCCGCTTTTAGCAATATTCCAGCAATATCACGGCGGGGGACACCAGAAATGGACTTCACACATTGTACCCATGTGGGGAATCGAACCCAGATCTTCGGCGTGACGAGCGGACGGTTTAACCACTAGGTCACCCCACCGCCCCTAATAGAATGAACAACGTTTGGGTTACGATGACCCTGTAGGTTGGGTCACACACTGTGTCGACGTGATCATTCATGTCATGGTATTCAAACGCGATGACGTGGATAATGAATCTTTACACTATTGAACATTCAGTTGTCAATGTCGCCGCGATACAGCTGAAATACTGCTGACTTCGGTGTTTACTCATGCACTCTCACAGCGACTTCTTTACACTCATGCGAGAGTATGGAAATCATCAGCGAGAACTCCAATTCATCTGATAGCTAGGCGTAACTTTGGCGCCTGTCGTACTCAAACAAAATTCCGATTATCCTAACTCTGTACATACTATGATTCGCCGATCGTCATAGCGTCATGTTCTTTATGTTGAAATGGGTTTCCATTCTTGGCCTATTTCTATCGAACAGAATTTCTTCTCCAATACAACGCCCTTTCTCATCATATCAGCGAAATACTTGCCATTCTGGAGTGTCATAAATATTCCATTACTCGGTTCTATGTGTTGACGGTGAAAAATGTTATGAACGATGTAAATAATGTCTGTTCCTTTAATTCGACACGTACATAACGTAATCGTATCTTTTGTCTTCAGGTCACTGCCGAAGAGGAGTCCAATGGAACTCGTGAGTATTTGATTCATCACAGATTTGGTTAACTACGATATTTTTAGGTTCTCCCACATCCTAAAAGGTTAAGCCAAGCCTAATGATCAGTTAATCCTGATCTCAATGTGCTGCCTGTCACGTTATGCTAGCTTAGAATTGTGGAGTATAATTGTTTACATGTCTCTGATCTATTCATTGTTCATTCGCACTTGTCCCTTTGGGGTGCTAGATATCTATGATCGTGGCATCGAATCCTTCAAACTCCCTCAACGTCTGGTCCCTTTTTCGTCATTACTTGTTCGCGGCGTTCGTGAAAGTTGTACAAGTGCAAAACTCGCGTTACTTTTTCTCTTAGAGCGGACACATTGTGATATCAGTGTGGAACTAAAATACTTTTCAGAGCGGAGTTAAGCCATACCCACTCCTTCATTCATGTAAGAACAGCAGAATGTATTGGGATTATCTTCGAGGACGTTTCATTCACAACTTCGTGTTTCTCACATGCCTCAGTGTGCTCATGAACGGGGTTATAGAGGTAAAGGACACGCGTTTGTCATAAACAATCTTCAGGTGCTTCAGTTTGCAAGATTCGTTTAGAATAGCTGAGTCAGCGTTAAGACATACAGGCTTGCAGCGACTGGCAGAGGTCATGCATCGAGCAACGGTTAGAGGGAAAACGTTTCTGCACCGTTGCACACATTAAACAGAGTCAGGGTATCGTTTAATCTTATTTCAACACCAGTTATAATGCTCAAAAGAAAGACGTCTATTACAAATATTAGCATGTAATATTTCCCACGTCAGGTTCCTGGTTTGTCCATAAATCATAAGTAGAACTACAGCTACAGACACTCTCATACATTACAATTAAATGCCTTGGGTAGAAGCACCCATTTCATGTGCCTGATTACACATATGTTCGCTTGGGTGCACCCTAATAGATTATGCTATCCCGTCATGAAAATCAACATAAAATATGTGCATTAAATTCATATAATCTCCCTTTATACGGGGCTCAAAAGACCTAAATGTAGTGACTGTTGCAGGTGCATGTCTTGTTAAACACCAGTGCTGTGTACACATGAAGCATAATTTTCATTTAATTAATTTGAAACCGCTGTTGAAACTTCCTACATGACTAATCCCATTGCGTGGTGTATGTATGTAAACCTATGCACTTATACGGATTGAAGTGAAACAGTATTTCACGCTTTTTCTTATCCGTCTAAGTTAGTGTTTAGCGCTCCCCAACAAAATATGTTAAGGGGAACTCGTGGTATCTGAAATGGGGATCGTCTGACCGCAGTCGTAGCAAGCTGTAGTATGTTCAAAGTGCTTGGTACATTTTGCTGCCTCTCTAACTACAAACTTTGCTGATAGTCTACCATCCAATTACATGGATCTTTGGTTGTGTTGTACCATAACCACCCACATAAAGCCCTGGCAATATTATACTATAAGAAAAAGTAGGAGATATTCCACTGGTGATCGGAAAAAAAGTCAAGGAAAAAAGTCGCAAAAACCAATTTAATCAGGTTCATGACATACTGGACCTCTTTCTCTCCTCTTTCTTTCTTCCCTTCATTCATTCCATTTTGGATGATATTATTTTGGAACTAAGTTGTATGATTGTACATGGATTTAGAACATAATTATTCCAGTCACATTGTATTATGAATGTAATGCAAACACGACAATTTCATGGAAGAGTTTTTCATGATGAGCATGTGAATGTGGTTGGGGTTAAGTTTGAAATTTACAGTGAGACGTGTGAGTGTGTGCCCGAACATTTCAATGATAAAAAACAGACTGAAAGTTGTACTGATATTGTTTTATACTCGGTTATTCTGTTTTATTATCATGACATGCGGCGTCTGACACACCAGGAACGACATTTGGCATGTTGGAACTTCGAAAAGAACAGCCAAGTAATCACAATGTTGACATAGCTACCCACAGACATTGATCTTGTCGACCAAGAGCCGTTTCATCAGAATGACTGTTGTACGAGACCGTGGTCAAAGTGTCCGATGATGATGAGCTTCATAGAGCTACAGGATTAAGTGGATAGACGGTTAATAATTGGCTACCCAGACAGCATTAATTTTCCATGCCCGATATCCATGTGTTATCCCACGATTGGCGGACATTCACTTTACAGCACGACGTCATTGGTGTTAAGAGCGGCAACGCTGGACCAAATGTCGTCGGGCAAATGTTCTGTCTTCGGATGAAACACGGTTTACTTTAGACTTTATATTTGGGATTACATTTTGTTAGTAAAGTGCAGATTCTTCTACTTTTTTCCCATCCGGGATTCGAACCTACACCCTCAGAGTCAGGCATCTAATCGCCAGCACACAAAGTCAGCCGCCTAACTTCCACAAAAATGGAAGTCGGACAACTGGTAGTCCAGACTGCGGACTTTGTGTACCCCTCTGATAAGATTAGTGTTAATTGGCACAGCTCCCACGGCCGAAAGCTATGATTACACAATGGCATTTAGAAAGTGGTCAAATGTAACATATGTTATATTTGGGATTACACTTTCTTAGTAAAGTACAGATGCTTGTACTTTGGTTGGGTTGAGTCCCATTCGGGATTCGAACCCACAACCTCAGAGTCAGGCACCTAATCGCCTGCACACAAAGTCAGCCGCCGAACCCGCTCAGCCACTTTAGACTTCATTGACATGCGCAACAGTGTGTGGTGTAGACGGAATGACGGTTTTCCTGCCCTTGACGTTACACAGAACGGTCGTTTCCGGGGTGCTCTCGCCAGGGCTGGGATTACTGTGACTGACTGAACACCTTTACATGTTATTCACGGACGTGTCACTGGGCAGTACCACCGTGGCAACATGATGTATGAACATGAGGTGACATTTGTACCTGTACTTCTATCGTATACTCCAAACACGATTCCATTTGTTACGGAAGTCGAGAGTGAACCTCTATTCGTCAGAAAACATGACATTAGTCCATCGTCGATGGTCGCAGCGTTCACGTTCCCTACACTAGCCTACTGACGCTTGATTCAAATGACGTGCAGTAAGATAGCTGTGGGATAGGTCGTCGGCATTGAGCTCTCCACTGCCATCCTGCAGACGATGTTCGACATTTTGCCAGGGAGCATGTGCTGTTACAAACGTTGCCTGTTAATCGGTTCCGTATCTGAGTGCCTGTTTGCAACCGGAATCAGATTCTTAATGCCATCATTCTGGCGAATTTGTTCTCGGCTGGAGTTGTTAGCATCCAGATCGGCGGTCCATTTATCGACTGCTGACAGATTAAGATAGGTTATCAACAATGTTCAGCTACAACATGCCTAAACGTTCAGTGTATATCATATATCGGCGAGTATCACATGATCAATGCTGTTACTTCCTCAAACTTTACTTTTAAAAGTCTGAGTGACAATGCTTCTTCTGGCATACCGCCACCTTTTGGACGTGCTGTCCGAAGTCACGAGCTTCACAACTGTCACAGTGTTGTGTTTGGGAACATGATTTGTTTGGAAATATTCTTGCCATATTCAGTACTCTATTTGCACGGTATATTTTCTCGTTTCCTTCTTCCGAAATATCAACTTTTACCTTTAAACTGTAAATATCAGGGTCTGACTAATATATTCCTTATATGTTAAACATGAAATGTTTCATCACATGTTGGGGTTTTTGTAAAGAATTTTAAGGCGTAGCCCCTAGTTATGTCGCTGCAATGACTGTAAACATTTCCTCGTTTCAATAGTAGTTTTATCGTTGTCGGAAGCGTCGTAAAACAGTGATTTGTTTTTTGTTTAAGAATTTCAAGAGTGCTAAATCAGTGGTAAAACTCTTAAATCTGCTCATATGTTTACCACATTGTACAAAACCCCGAAACAGCAGTATAAGAAAAAAGTACAAATGCAAGTTAACGCTGTACAAACATCTCTTTAACGAGAGATGCATTTCATAGCATTTCAGCCTTTCAGCCTTCGGCTGCTGCTCTCACATTATTCCTTGACACATTTGCCAGTTGCAGGAATGCCGTTATACGACTCTAACTTACACATGCAATTCTCTTGAAATGAACGTTATAGATGTAGTCTATATTCCCCTCTTGAAACAGCAAATCATGCAGGAAGTGCGGCAATATATTATACTCATTGATCATTTAAGTAATTCTGACAATGGACATACAAACGGCATTAAACTGCTGATGTTAGAACTATTTGTTGAGACCAAATCGTGGCTGCCTCCTGCATCAGACGTTCTCAGTTGTAAGTGCTGTGATCTCAGTCATTAACGAATTATTCATCAACAAAGATGATTAACAACATCACTGTGACTATGAAAAGTAGAGCCTTCGCAGCCCAATCCGTCGTCCGTTGCGCTAGAAAGTGTACTTAAGTCTATTATGTTATCCCGTTATGAGTGAGTGAGATTATTTTTACGTCACACTCAGCAATATTATAGCTATATTGCGGCGATCTGTAAATAATCGAGTCTGGACCAGACAATCCAGTGATCAACAGCATGAGCATCCACGGTTATTAAGAAAAGGGTCAATACACGAAAAAGAACGTATAGGAACACCATTTCTGTTTACACATACAGTTTTAGGAGAGGACCTGGAGTCATGAAGCAAGCAGATTCGTGATTTACAAAATTAAGAAATTAGTAATAAATATTGTTTTTACAGTTAACTTACTTTGAATTTTTTTGGCTCGCTCATGTTACAGCGACCCGTTATATCCAATTATTTACGTCAAGCAACATAATATGTGCCCAACATTCAAAGTATGTTAATTGAAACTTACAAACGTACCACTTGTCCAAAATCGTTCAGCTTCTATAATGTATATACTACTGTCAAATATTAGAACGAAGATATGGCTGGTATGATTGGCCCAGTCATGTGAGGGATTCAAATACAAATTTTTCCCGAAATATGTTGCGATCATCCTGATTTTCAACGATGTGGTCAGCGTCTGAGACAAGCATCACTACAGCCTTCCTTATTAAGCTGATGTGACAT